CGTCATAAAATATCCACCCTTAACAGATATTTTTAGATGTTTTATTCAGTATTTCAAGAATTCTCGGAACAAAAATTAAAGTGATAAAAGTATATACTGCCTATTTTCTGTTTTCTGCGTTATTTTATCTGTCTTAAGATTTGATCTCCATTTTTGATTTAATAAATTCTAGACATTCTTTTATACTTTAGCTTGTCACACAGCTTCCTCAGCACTACAGGACTTTGCAAAAGTCAGAGACTACCAATCATTTATTTAATTTCTAGTCAAAACATATATTTTTCAGGAGGTATTTCTGAGGAAATTGGATATAGGTTTATTCATGTCTATTATAAAGGATAAATTTAAGGTAACAATGAAAAAAAGCAGTAATTTCCAAAACTGTAGTTCAACATTATTGAATGTTTTTGGGATTGCTTAAATCTTGATGAGCAGAAAGTGTAACCAACTTCTAAGGCTGAACTTTGGAGGTGTGGAAAAATATGCTGATTTCTTTGAAGAACTCAAAGCAAGTCTTCTGAAAAGAACAGAAGCTGTAATAAAGACCAAGCGTGGACACACTTAATTCCCGAAAATCATATATTAAGTTGTTGAGTATTCGGTGTAATTTTCTGTTAAACATTATAATTTCTGAATAACTTGTACTTAATGGGTTTTGTCTTGAAGTTATTAACCAGGTTATTATGCAAAATGATGTTTTAAATAGTATCGCACATAATAATGGACTTTTAAATGGTAAGAAATAAGAGGAAAACATACTAGAGACTCTGCATCATACAGTGAATCTAGTGGTTCACCGCAATTTGAAGACTGCTAACCTCTGTCTGAATACAAAAACAAAAACAGTTTCCATCTAAACACGGCTCACTCGGGTTTAAAGGCTGTTTGTGTCCGGGAGCAGGAGACTAAACACCGTACGAGCCGAGTCTGTGTGTTTGGATGACCAGCATTGGCTACAAGGGCTACACTATGCTTCTCTTAATCCACTTCATTTACAAATCAGAGCTGACGAGGAGACGGCTGAACCCCCCACTGCAGCTCGGAGGAATTAATGGATTTGTATGTGCGTTTTTCCAGGATGGCAATGTTATTGGTTTTCTCGCAGGAAGGGACGCAAACTCACACACACTCCAGTTCAACCTCCGAGATTTCAAAGTACTTTCGGCTCATGATTTCATTAGGCAAGAATGGAGTTGTTTGTTTGTAAGCAAGCATGAATGATCACCCCTCGGAGAACTGCAGGCAGATGCCATTTGCTTCTTTACGTTTTGTTTTCTTATTTGTTTATTCCTTTGTTTACAACACTAGTGGAGTTTTAATCTTGAGGTCTCTTTTGATCATCTACTTATCTTCGTTATTCAGTATTTTATTATTACGTCTACAATTATGCATCTGTATGTATCTAAGCCTATCTTTAAATGAGGAGTGGACAATGTGATGATATTTCGTCGTTATTGTGATAAATTCATGATGTTCTGTTCTGAGTATGTCATGTGTTATCAGCACTTGTAAAACACTGAACAACTGCATGCATCATAAAAAGACAGATACGAGCCATATGGATCTTATTGAGAGTCTATAAAGAACAACTGCATGAACTACGTAGTATAATAACAAGGAGTTGACTGAATGTCAGCATTATGTTATCTTTTCCATTTATTTATACCAATTGTTATTTTTTCCTTATGTTTTTTTCTTAAATGGTTTATTTTTGCAAGCATTTAATTAAAATACATGATACTTAGATTTTAAAAAGAGGAGAAATGTGGCATGTTTTTCTAGTTCATTTTGTCCTTTACAATGAAATATTATGTTACATAGTTTATTATAAAAAGCATTGTGATGTTTTATAGGGACATATAGGGATCACAGCCAGTCCTTGGATAATTTACCAGATTGGGTATGAGCTCTGTTAAGCCAAGACTGCTAACAAAGCGGCCTATTTTAGCGAACTATTTTACAGTGGGAAGTGAAAAACTACTGGTATGTGGCTATAATGCTTCAAGTCTATAACAGCTATAATGCTTTGCAGCACGCGCTGCTGCCAGTTTTTCACTTGCAAGTCACAACTGGTTAAAAATGAAACTATCTCAGGAAACATTCTGCTTCACTTCGCCTGTTTTGGCTCAAAACTGATGCTAACAAAACAGCCAGTTTAAAAACTGAAAGAATGGAGCTAGAGGTGGCACTCACACTGAGCATTGGTATCAGGCCGATATCAGTAGAAAAGGCTGGATCGAATATCGGAGGGGGGATAAAGATCTTCGTCATTCAGCGGATCCTGTGACAATTGGGAAAATGTCAATACAGCAAAACATGTTGGCTTTGGAACATTTTTTGTTTACCACAAGATGCAATAGTGGCAAATTACTATGCATTATTCTCATAGAGAAAACCAACTTAGACTCATTTTGCTGTTGTCAGAACAAAACCTTATATCTCCAAAATGGTAACTTTACAGGAGAAGCAAAAAACATGTTTTATTTATAATGTAAGTCAATGGAGCCAGAATTTTTTCCAAGTAATTTTGAGCCATTTCTCGTGGTGCATTCATCTTGAAATTTACAAACAATATAAAGGACGGTAGGTTTTTTCAAATTATGTCAAAAACTGAAAAACGACCAAAATGGAGACACAAGGTTTTGATCCGACAGCATCATGTATGAGCATGACAGCAACTACAGAATGAAGACTACGGAGGTGTTTTGCATGCATGTTAAATTGCAGCGTATTCTCGACACTGTAACATAGTGATGGAAATCAGATATCAGTTCAGAGTGTATATAATTGATTTTATTGCATAATTTAAAGTGACTGGTAGCTAAATCATCAGGGAGGTCAGTCAAATTGGATAATAAGCTGAAAACTAAATAAATTAGTCCAGATTGTCACATTATGAACACAGTGGTAAACAGCAACCCTGCATATCTTATTTAAATTGAGTGGCCACAAATAAACAATGGATAATATTATTATTGGATGATGCTTAACATCAACATATGCGGATCAGATCGGATCAAGGGGCACGAAAACTGGACTGGGATGTTCCTAATGATATATTTACTGTATCTCACACACTTACCAGCCTTTGGTACTCAACAAATGGTGATTATCTTCCTCTGTTTCACCATCATGTATGACTTCATTTCTAACTCTGCATAGCTCTTCATACAGCAGCCCTTAAAGAGACGCAGTGTCGAGTGTTTGCATAGTGTCATGGAAGCATGTGGTAATGCACTCAGTGTGAGACTGTATGAGAAGTGAAAATATATGGCATGTGTGAGGTGTGAGGCATGTGGGGGGGGCAGTGGTAAGAGGGGGAAAAGCGTGCTCTGAATGCTAAAAGGCTTACGCACATACAGAAGATGAGCTTGAGGGCTGCTGCACATAGTCACACACACACACACACACACACACACACACACACACGGACATGTTCATATTCACTCTAATGAGGCTAATTCAGCAGACACACACACACAGATGCACAGATATTTTCTTTCTCTGTGTTAGAGCTGATGCCATCAACATTTTACAGGCTTCCAGCATTAATTCTCAATACCATTCCAAATACAGTAATAATTACATTTGATAAGTAACCATCATTTTATGTATGTTAGTTCATTTTAGATCAGAATAGATTAAAATATTCCAGTTTTCTATTGGTAACAAATAATAATGCGATCATAAATATTTACAGTCAGTTCCAATATCTTTACAGCCAAATTGGCCAATGGCTGATTGTTAGTCATCTTTTTTTCATGCTAAGCTCACACGGCATTGGGAAAATATTAGCCAAACTTGAACATTATTTGCTCTCTAATGTAACATTTTTCCGTGTCAGATCAGTTGTGTAATAATGTGAATCAAATCGAAAGTAAGAGGCGACTGGCTGCTTAGCACAATGAGTCATGCACAATTATTCTGTGACATTTTCAGACAGGTTTAGCAACAGCTAAATATAAATAATATCAAATATTACCACTTATCTTGCTCCAGACATTAAAGGAAAAGGGGAAACCTGTGAGAGATGTGCTGTGTGGGTGTTTTCATCCTTTAAATAACGCTACATTGGTATGACATGGTATTTTAATAACCTATCACATCCATCATTGAGTAATTGCTATTTTTCTTCTAGTTTTAAGACAGAATGTTTTGTTAGGTGGTACATAAGCATCTAACTCTGAACATTTCAGGAATTTCCGAATACTAAATCAGCAAAAGGGGGGCCAACGTAACAAATGAATACTCAAGGGTTTTGAGTTATTGGGGCCAGCCCTTGTCTGCATTCTCGTGCTCTTCTGTATCAGGCAGTACACCTGGAGATGCACACACACACACACACACACACACACACACACACACACACACACTCACACTCACGCACAGAGAGACGAGCAGTCTGGAGGCAGTCAAAAGGGCCACATAAAAGACAATATATGAAAGAGAGAAAGATGCAGCCTACAATTACACAGAAGGTTAAGGAGCCTATTACCAGTGCTGCTTTTTCATCTGACACATGAATATGGATGAATTTCCATTTGCTTATGAGCAGCAGTAATTACAGGATTGCTCTGGCTCCATCTCTAGCCTGTAGGTATTCCGTGTTAATGTTGATGTTTAGAATGTGCAAACAGAGGTGTGTGTGTGTGTGTGTGCGCGTGTGTTTGTTTTCCAACATTTTGAGGACAAAATTACCCTGAAAAACCACAGAAAAACAGGGCTAAACTACCTTTTCAGGACATACAAAATGGACTTAACTTTGCAAAACACTTGGAGGACTGCAGGGATGTTTTTTGACACTGCTGAAGCTTTTTTTGTCTATTTCCTTTTCTCAGTAACGCTGTCTTAACACCTACACGTGCTTTCAGACAGTACTGTAATTATGTTAATAATGCATATGGGTATTTGAATGACTCCTGGTCCTCACATTGTACAAAAACAAGTCTCTGTGTGTGTAAAGCAGCATGTTAACCTGCTTGAATGCTGTTCTCTTACAGGAAATGACCCATTCCTGGCCTCCTCCTCTCACTGCCATACACACACCAGGCAAAGCAGAACAAACCAAGTTTCCCATCCCCTCCAAGGTAAACTGTTACATACACACGCACAAACATAATGTTACCCAGTATTTACACACTAAATATTGAACCAGTATTTATAGTAAAATATTAGAAAGACATTTCTTTTTCTGGTTATGGTCTTCCTTAAAGGTCAGTAAAGGTCTTTAAAGGAACACTTGAGCATTTTTTGATCTGCTGCATCTGTAGCATACAGTCAGTTACCATAGACAATCATTTCAGCATGTTTCCCTTCACTTAGTTATAATAGAAAAACTGGTGACTCTAAAACAGAAGCCAGTGAAAAACATGTACTCATGTAAATGTACAATATACATGTGTAATGCAGGGCTGGCAGTAGCCTTTTGGGGGCCCTAAGCAGGGTTTTTGGGGCCCCTATATTGCTAGCTGGTGAACTGTGAAATTAGAGCTAAACTGTTAACAACGACTACCACAATCTGTCTAAATTATATACATTTATAACTGAATAAATTATGCATTGCTGATGAGCGGATGCTCGTTTAGAGTTCTAATAAGTCAGAAGTTGAAGCTGCTTCATTAGTAAGACCTAAGATCCACTTCTTCTTTTTGTTTTTCCCCTCTCTAGAACATAATAATGGTAGAGTAATAACCCAGACATTGTTAGCGGGCCCCCTCGGGAGCTACTTATGTTGCTTATTAGATAGAATCTACACTTGTTAAATGCAAACGTTTGGGCAGCTCCAGTGAAATTACATGTTTTGCTGATTTTCTAAGCTTGATATATTAAAAAAAACCATTAAATATGAAATGTTTCATTACTTTTGCATAGACCATGTTATGTTTTATTTTTTCCAATATGTTAAATTCACAGATAAACAGTGATTGTGTATTAAAATGCATAGAGATGTGGTCTCCGTAGAGGATGTGTACTTATTTTCACCAGGGCGCCCAAACTTTTGCATTGCTGATGTGATGTAATAATTAATTGTAAAATAGGTTAATATTTAATTATTCAAAATGAGACATCAGCAAACAAATGAGGGTTGCATACTTTACAATGTCTCTTTGTGTTTATTTACAAATGATATTCGGTATTAGTGTATTATTAATATAGCTGTGTAAATGACTGATACTGATTTTAGCGTATGATTATCTCTCATTAAAGACGTCATGTGTTCGTAGACCTCTTGTGTAGTCATGCTCTGTTTTACTCACTAAGCTCTCCACCACACAGAGAGTGACGCATGAAGTGTTACTGTGAAATCACCAAGCAAGACTCAACATTAGGACAGTGTCTTTTTCCCCACTCCGGATGAGTTTGCGGACTGTGGGGGAAAACGCAGTTATTTATTTATTCATTTTATGGAACCTCGGGCTGATGTCATAACATCCGCCCGTCACTCTGTCCTCTGATGTCACTTGACAAGTTTCCAGAGATGGCGTCAGGGAGCTGGAGGGCTGAGCAGTGTCACTGGGAAGATGTCAAAGCATTGAGGGGGAGATGTGCTGGACAGGGCTTTGTGGTTTGGCCATGCTTTTTGACTGAGTGACTCTTTTGGCTACACGTCATCTCTGCTTCACTGAGACTGAGTGTAATCTGTTGCTGCTTAGACCATCCAGCCACTACGCTCAGCCTGCCATGGTTTACAGGGCACAATTATTAATATTTTATTTTTTTTTAACCTGTTGGTCTGATTTTAGGGCTGAGCGATTCAATAAAGATAATTATTATCATATTATTGTGCAAAAGTCAGAGACCACACTTCAGGCATTTTCAAATGGTGTAAAGTAAAATAAATAAATAATACAAAGTAAAAGAGATTAGAAGATTTTGATGCAACAGTGACAATGCTTGAATCCCAGTGTTATTTTTTTTTTTAAAGGCTTTTTCTGATATTATATACACACTTACTCTGTAATACATTTACAGTGGAGTTGCCAGTAAAGTACTGTACATTGTATACAATATGTTTATTGTATTAGTACTATATATACATTAATACCATATAAATATATATATATATACATAGAAAAAACTAAATGCACCTCTCTAAATGCTAAATATTTTACAGTATGATCCTGCAAAATAAACCAGTATTATACTGTAAAATAAATACTGTAGATTTACAGCAGTTTTTTTTACAGTTTATTTATTACCAAGACAGAACGTAAAACATACCTAAACAAAACATTCAAAAAAAACTACATTTCACTTTTATTGGGCCTTTACTTTCAACATAGATCTTTAAAACTATCTTAGCTTGAAGTAAAAGTATGATATTAAAAAAAAAAACAGAATAAAGTTGATAAAGAGGATGTTGACCTCTTATCTTGTTCTGAAACATTTTCCTTAAACTTACTACTTTTTCTTTCCATAATTTCAGCAATGAAAATGGCTAGCTAGCTGAGTGTAACTATCATGCATATGTCCAGTCCAAATTCCTGTTCTCTGGACTTGTGGCCTCCAGCCTTGCTGACTCTTTGAGGGCACTACTAAGTTGTAAAAATGGTACATTATAAAAAGCAATTGCCTTTTACCTCTTAAAGTCCCAGGCATATTACATACTGAAGCTTATTATTCAGGTAAAACAGGGACTTTAATGCAAACTGGTTGAGCTGTTTTTAGGTTATAGAAGTGTGTAATAAAACTTTGGGCACACCACTGTATGGGCAGGTCAGCAATAGCTGCATAGAAAGCTAACAAAATGGACAAGTTTCTGGTAATACAAGGTCCTGGTGCATCAGCTGCAGTGATACTTACTATCCACAAAGAGGGCCTTAGACAAGTTTGAGAACCGCTGGCTTGGATGAATAGCATAAATAGACAGCCCAGCCCTCTGACCCTCTCGCTTACACGCATGTTAAGTATCTCAAGTTTGGGAAGGCCCAATTAAGCCCTTACCAAACCATAAACCAAGCAAAGTTTTATTGCACACTTAAGCTAACCTAAGAATAGCTCCATTAGTTTGCATTGAAGTCCCTGTAGTTACTGAATTATAAGCCTTAGTACATAATAAGCCTGGAATGTTAAGGAGTTACGTGATAGTTTGAGCTGTTGTGAGTGAACGGCTAGACTTCATCTCCCTGGTGACTAAAAGGCACACATTGCCACCTAGAGTGCCAAAGTAGCAACAGTTCAAGTCAAGCCCTTGAGGCGAATGTCAACATAGTAGCAGAGTTGTCAATTTATTGACAATATCAAAGATGTGTGTCGTTGATATAGGAAAAATGTTTGATTTCAATAATTATCATTATTATTTTAACAATACCTAGGCCTGTGTCTTACTGCAATATTAGGAAATCTTTCCCAAACCTTCTTTACCCCTGAGAGATAACCTACAGGGTTTAGGAATAATAAGCCGCTGTGAAATAGTGTGCCTATTAAAACGAATCATTCTGCTGCAAATTGTCACAGTTTCTTCTGTGGCCGTGCCTTCAAGATGTCATCCCCTCTGTGTCTGTGCGTATCCGAGTGTGTGTGCGTTCTCAAGTTCCACTCAAATCCCATGACGCTTCATTCTCAGTGCTAAAGTCCCTGTTATTTGCCTCTTAATAGGACATGGTCTGACTGGCATAAGTTGACCCGAGTGACATGGCTAATAATAAGCTGACTCTATAAATCCTGATTTAATGGTGCTATCTACTAGCGTAGTCATCTCTCCTCTGCTCTCCCGCTGAAGTGTGATTTGTGTGCTGCTTCTAATTGTATTAGTGTAAAATCAATTAAAGCCATCAGCAGGAATATTGCCCATCCATAGCTCCTCCATGTGTGTTAAACGCAGCTTTGCTTCACTCTAGCAGGTTTAAAATTCTCTCTCTCTCTCTCTCTCTCTCTCTCTCTCTCTCTCTCTCTCTCCCTCCCTCCCCCTATCGCTCGCTCTTCCTCTCTCCACAGGACCCCCAGCACGTAACAGCAGGATACAATGGACAAAGTGAGTGGAGTCCTTCATTCACTTCTACATTATTTAATACAAAATTCTAGCACTGTCTCTGTAAGTTGACTAGTTCACTAACCAGTCGCAGCAGCTCTAGCTGGGTTTCCATCAACATATTTTTTATGCGTATTTTGGCATATTGAATAAAAAAGACTTCATGGAAACATCAAAGAAGTAACATCAAATAAAATCTGCAAAATTCACGTAAAGGTTTGTAAGCTTTCTTGAAGTGGATAAAATGTCAGGCAATAACAAGTAAATGCTGGTTAATTAACTGTAATGCAAATTCCATATGATGGATTACATTTCTACATTTTACAGTGTTTAAATTTTTTTACAGTAAAATACAGTATTCTGTAAGTTCTGTAATAACTCAGCAGATTACTCTGAGTTTGCTGTTAGGCTGTACTAAGGCTGCTATGCTGAGTTAAAAAGGGGGAAACATTTTAATAAAATCATGTTTTTATTCTAATGATTCAGATTTTGGAGTTGTAGTATAAAGCTGCTATTTTACTGTTATTCACTGTTAATAAGGTTCTAGTAAGCAGTATTTTACTGTAATTTTACGGTGTGCTTTTGCAGGCGTAGCTACGACACAAGCTAGAAAGCAGCAGGTACCAGTTGAGTGACGAAGAAAACAAAACCTTTCCTTATCTTATTAAAGACTAAACTTAGTGGTGATATTAGATAGTAAACGAACATAAGATTCATAAGACCTTTGGGTCATTATATTTGTCAATCTGTTGTTTTACCACTTTAACAAGGTACCACTCTTAAACAAAACGCAACAAAAATTTATTCTCTTGTGCAGAACAGAGGGAACGTCATCTTAATTTGCAGAATTCTGAGATATTTTGAGCACTCACTCAATATTAATTCAGGAGTCCCTGCTATTGTATGGCATTCTGCTGGTGTACTAAATGTATTTGTATATATATTTATTTGTTTATACATGCAAATTATACTTAAAACTACATATTTCAACAACAGTATCATGTAGCTTGTCTCTATTTAACTTTAAGCATCCTGTTTCACTCATCTGCTCACTCATTAAGTTATATAATTTAATTATTTGGAGTTTTTTTTGGGGGGGGCGGTTTCAGTGGAGTAAGGGTGATTTTCTATTTTAGTCAGAAAAAAATTGTCTTTTTGGTGAGGAAGAAAATATTTGAAGACATATTTGAGGACAGCTATAAAGAATTCCCTTTGTGTCTGTTAAACAGTGTCAAACATGTCAGAAGGCAGCACCCAACGGATCATTTTTTACAAACCGTAATGGAAAAAAAAAAATCGAAGCAGAATGTCTTGTGACACGTCGCGCCCGATGCCAAGCTGATTTTCAGCCGCCTCTTGGCCGGCGCTTAATCAAAAACCCGCTCTCTGACATTTACATGTGCATTCTTTTGGCAGAGCGCTGTAATGTTCCTGGTAACAAGCCCGCGACCAAGTCGGTGCCACAGAAGTCGTGAGTATTCATTTGATTAATTATTTGAGAAGGTGCCCCAGGGAGATGGAGAGACGGAGAGAGTGGGGCAGAGTCTGAGCTTTGTTCCTTTGCAAAATAAGTCCCCTAGAGGAGCGCGCTCCATTCCCAGCTGAGAGAAACCGTCTCGACAAACAAACACTGCAGCTGGCACTAGTTCACTTCACCGCAGGCACAAAGCATCAAGAATACAGCATCAACAGTACAGGCATATATTACATACATACAATGATGTGCAAAGGACATGTGTGGTCTTCTGTAGCACTGATGTTAAGGGCCCTATAGACATTCCATATAGACAGTCCACAACACTGTGTTTTGTTGTTTTATACATATACAGGAGACATTTTGTGCCACTTTAACACAGAATTAAATCAGTAAACAATATGACACAAAAAGTGTTAAAACAGGTAACGCAAGTATGATATATAATGAACAGGACAAGTCAAAAGTCTGGACACACCTGAATGACGGTACAGTATTGTTGAAAAAAGTAAGAGACTTAATTTATTTAATTCATTTATTTAATAAGTTTGCTGGAGTTCAGAAAAGTATTAAATGATCAGGAAAAATGATACAACCATCCAAGACCTGGTAAACACCAAAACTGCCCCATCAGATAAACAGCACTTAAAGCTTTTATCTTTGAGAAAGAGGAGAAAATCAAGCTGCTTCAGATCTGAAAGCATCCACAGGTGTTTCTGTCCATCCTTCCACTGTGAGAAAACGACTCAGCGCTGTGGGTCTGAAAGGATGTGTAGCTGTCGAGAAGCCATTACTGAGAAAAGGAGACGGACACATCAAACAAAGAAGTTGAACAATGGACTGACCACCCCAGAGTCCAGACCTCAACATCACTAAATGTGTTTGGATTACTTGGAATTTGAGAAGCAGACGATTCCACCAACTTCTAAGACTGAACTTTGGAAGTGTGGAAAAACATCCCTGCAAATTTCTTCGAAAAACTGAAAACAACTGAATGGAAGCTGTAATGAAAGCAAAGAGTGGACACACTAAATACTGAAAAATGTGTATTATATTTAGTTCTTGATGTTTCTGTGTAATTGTCTGAACGTCATTGGCTTTTTTTTCCTGAGATTGGAAACTTAATAAGTTTGTATTTAATATCAGTTATGACTGAAATTAAGATAAACAAAGCGTGATCTCTAACTTTTGCACAGTACTCTATTCCATATGTGTCATTTCATACACTCTTAAAACAGAGCCGTGAAAAAAAATGCATGTCTCTGATTGGACACGTCAGTGTGTTCAGTTGGAGTCGACACATTTTGTGCCACTTTTAACACAGAATTAAACCAGTAAACAATATGATACAAGAAGTGTTAAAACAGGTAACACAAGTAAGTGTGTTGTTAATTAACACATCACTTTTTAGAGTGTAGTTTTGTCTTCAATATTAGTCTAAAAATAATGAAAAGTCTTTTTGAGTAAGTGTGTCCAAACTTTTGACTGGCACTGTTTACATCACTTTATCATAATAGCGCTATACATTTACATTAGTTATTCTTCTACACTCGATAAACAGCCAAACATATTTTGTTTCTATTCTGTTCTTGATAAAGTGCTTTAAGGAAACGTTACAGTTGCAGAAAGTTTAGCCTGTGTTTCATTTTAATCTTTCTTGGTATCGCTGCGTCTGTTTCCTGAGAACCTGTTAATAATACAAAAATTCTCTGGAAGTAGCTTTTCTTATTAAGTATGAACATGTTCTCCGAAAACTAGAAGAAAACAGCAACAGCCCACGTTTTGTTGCTAATGCTGCGTGCCACACGAGTCTAACGCACGGCCCAGCGAGCAACAGGCGAAATCTGACTGGCTAAACAGATGTGACAGATCTAGACAAATTGAATCCGAGCCTAATGCATCTATCAGCTCAGAAGAGGAGATATCTTCTCATGGGGGTACGAGGGATGGGGGAGGCGGGGAGGAGACGTGGTTTGAACTGCCAGACACATAGAAGAATGCTGCATTGTTTGGCTTCTGGAGCTACTTAGAAACACAGTTATCTGTTGATCTGACTCAAACGCGTCTCTTCGTTCTTAGGCCAAAGGCAGACACTGAGCCATAAGCATTTGTCGTCAACATTTGTGGCATCCGTCTGTTTGATCCTCTTTTTGCTTCCGTTTCTTTAGCTTTTTGTGTTTTTTTTGCCCGCTGAAAGCAAGATAACTCTGCTTTTGTTCCCCTCAATTACATGCCAGTTATTCGAGGGAAGTCTTAAATGATTTAACCAGTCCAAATATTTAGAGCGAGACTGCCTCGGGGCAAGAACATTTCTGTCAATACCGACTTTGTCTGCCACAGCTGAGCGCATTGACTATGGGTCAAGTCATGTCACCGTTTTTTTTTCCCCTCCACTGCTGCAAACACTAGATGTGCAGTGTATGCAGAAACGAATGCACTGTGCACTTTGCATTTAAGCTCAGAATCTTCCGTCCTCCTGGGCCCCCTTGCTGCTTGTGAAGTGTACTTTTCTGTCGTTTGACTGAGCGTCATGTATTTCTGTAGTGTACTTTAACAGCATTTGATTGTATGAATAATATGCAGTTTGTTTTGTGATGAGCCAAAACATTATGACCAAGTGAAGTGATTAACATTATCTTCTAACAACAGCTCATGTGAAGGAGATACACCGTTTAGGCATAACATTATGACCACCTCCATTGTCCATTTTATCAGCTCCACTTACTATATAGGTGCACTTTGTAGTTCTACAGTTACAGACTGTAGTCCATCTGTTTCTCTGCATACTTTGTTAGCCCCCTTTTACCCTGTTCTTCGGTGGTCAGGACCCCCATGGACCACCACTGAGCAGGTACGATTTGGGTGGTGGATCATTCTCAGCACTGCAGTAACACTGACGTGGTGTGTTAGTGTGTGTTGTGCTGGTACGAGTGGATCAGACACAGCAGTGCTGCTGGAGTTTTTAAACACTGTGTCCAATCACTGTCCACTCTATTAGACACTCCTACCTCGTCAGTCCACCTTGTAGATGTAAAGTCAGAGACGATAACTCATCTGCTGCTGCACAGTTTGTGTTGGTCATCCTCTAGTCCTTCATCAGTGGTCACAGGATGCTGCCCACAGGACGCTGTTGGCTGGATATTTTTGGTTGGTGGACTATTCTCAGTCCAGCAGTGACACTGAGGTGTTTAACATCTTGGTGCCAGATACCAGAGGTCTCAGAGGTCTTGTAGAGTCCATGCCTCAGCAGATCAGAGCTGTTTTAGCAGCAGGCTGAGGACTAGTAGCGTTATTGGCACATTAATGTATCTTGAACCATACGCTAAAATGCTGCACCTATACACTTATACCACTAGACCCATATGTAGCAAGCGTAACTAACTGATGTAGGGGCAGTTCTTTTCTTTCAGATCCTAATCAGTGCAGTTTTATAGGCAGAAGTCGCTGAGCTATGGCCTGCCTTATTATAAGTCTATTGTATTTTACTTCTCATAAAACAGAACATTGCTTCTTATTGCAGACTTGTAGCCTTGTTTTGTTCAATGGAAAGTGCAGTGAATTAAGAGGAACTTAGATATCTAAAGGTGGTGAACTTAAGATTAGACAAACAAGAATATCAAGGAAATCTCTGGCATAATAAAAAAGCAAGGAAGACAACAGTATGTTCTGATCAAAGTTCAGGCTTTAAACGCAGTGAGAATGCAGTATTTCTTTGTGACGCCTTTAATCTTTCAGCAGGTTGAGAAAATAAGGGCAGTTGTGTACATGCCTTCAAAGAGCTTAAATTGCTTGTTGTAGCTCTGTTTGTAAGATCATTTAAATGTAGATATCCAACCAATGTTAATTTTCTTTCTTTGGATGTACGCTTAAAAACAGGTTGACTTGGACGTGCAATTCTCAGAAACACCTTGGATTGGTATAAAACCTTTACATCATGTATCTGTAAGGATTCTTCCGACTTTCACGTCTCATTTTAAGAACTATGCATTGAAAGGTTCTTTTGGTAAGTGTCAAAGAACCTTTTTGGCACCTATAGTTTATGCAATAAACCCTGAGTCTGCAAATAATTTGCTTTATTTATGTACCTTCCAGACTTACTTACAACAACTTTAATAACTCTATGATTTGTATCTTTTCTATATGAGAACTTTTGGTCACAAGAGTGTTTAAAATTGGGTGAAATATCATCCAGTGATTTCAGCTCCATTAGGTAATTGTTGTCATCTCTCACAAGTCCATCGGCCGTCAGCGGAGTCATTTTCCTCCAAGCATCTCACGGAGGCTTTAGGTCCAATGTGGAAGATTTCAATGCGCCATCGTATAAACCTTTAGCGCTTCAATCTGTCCCTCTTGAGCCACAATCGTCCATTAGGCGGAGGGTACAGGGGCATTAATTTGAAGTTTACCGTGGTGGGAAGTCATAAAATGGCACTTTTCCCCAGCGGATCGGCCGTTGTGTAACCTCCTCGCGAGCGCCGGTGATCAGCACTGTAATTTACTCCAAACCCGACATTAGTCACACTCAAGTGCCACCATTCTCCCCGACCGAGAGAGACAGCAAAGAGAAAACGGCCCGCTACGGCCGCTCACTGCCACCAGCTAGTTCTGCCCTTCTCAGCCAGCTTTCTTCTCTGTTATTTTCTGCTTCTTAGCATTACTCATCCTGCTGCTCATTCATATGCGCACACAGTCATATGCAGTATGTTCACTGTGTGTCTTCATTGTGTTAATATGATGCTGTTAACACTTTATCATGTTAGCACAGAGAGTATCTGAAGCACTGTGGCAACTGAATTACACTCTTAAAAGATGCCAAAAGGGTTCTTTGGAGCAACAAAGACATAGAGGAACCACTTTTGGTGTCCCTGAAGAACCTCTCAGTGGATGATTCCTTAAAGAATCGTTTTTGTAAATGAAATGTAAAAGCATGAAAAACCTCATGTTTAAAGAGCCTCCACATAATATAAAGATGTTATTACTAGTTTTTTCTACACCTG